GCTTGTGGTCCCAGCTACTTGGGAGGCTGAGGCAGGAGACTCGCTAGAGCCAGGAGTTGGAGGTTGCTGTGAGCTGTGATGACAGCACTCTACCCAGGGGGACAGCTTGAGGCTCTGTCTCAAAAAAAAAGAAAGCTCTTTTTTAATTTATTAGAGTGACCTAGTTAAAGTTTGGTTGGGCATAGTGGCTCACGCCTATAATCTTAGCACTCTGGGAGGCCAAGGCTGCCAAATCGCCTGAGCTCACGAGTTTGAGACCAGCCTGAGCTACAGAGAGACTCGTCTCTTAAAAAAAAAAAAAGCAAACTTCAGAAGTATATATAGCACATTACCATTTATATAAAAATAAATAAACAATTGGCTCAAATGGTGGCTCATGACTGTAATCCTAGCACTCTGAGAGGCCGAGGTGGGTGGATTGCTTGAGCTCATGAGTTTGAAACCAGTCTGAGCAAAAGCAAGACTCCATCTCTACTAAAAAAATAGAAAAACTGAGGCAAGAGGATCGATTGAACCCAAGTTGGAAGTTGCTGTGAGCCATGATGTCATAGCACTCTACCAAGGGTAACAGCCTGAGACTGTCTCAATAAATAAATAAATAAACAAGTAAATAAATAAAACAATTACATACCTATTTGCCAAATTCTAAGTACGTTACATACGATTATTCCTCTTTTACAATTGAGCAAACTGAGGCTTATGTGTGTAATTTTTGTGTAAACAAGCTTTGGAAGGAAGCAAACATATTTTTTTGAGACAGAGCCTCACCCTGTCACCCTGAGTAGAGTGCCATGACATCATCATAGCTCACAGAAACCTTAAACTCTTGGGTTTGAGCAATCCTCTTGCCTCAGCCTCCCAAGTAGCTGGGACTATAGATGCCTACCATGACACTCCAGTAGTTTTTCTTTTTTCTTTCTTTCTTTTTTTTTTTTTTAGAGACAGAGTCTTATTTTGTCACCCTTGGTAGAGTGCCGTGGCATCGCAGCTCACAGAAACCTCCAGCTCTTGGGCTTAGGTGATTCTCTTGCCTCAGCCTCCTGAGTAATTAGGGACTATAGGCACCTACCCCAATGCCCGGCTATTTTTTTGCTGTTGCAGTCTGGCCGGGGCCAGGTTTAAACCCACCACCCTTGGTATATTGGTCTGGTGCCCTACTCACTAAGCCACAGGCACCACCCAACTCTACTAGTTTTTCTATTTTTATTAGAGATGCGGTCTCAGTCTTGCTCAGGCTAATCTTGAACTTGTGAGCTCAAGCAATCTTCTCACCTCGGCCTGTAATCCCAGCACTGTAGGAGGCTGAAGTGGAAGGATCTCTTGAGCTCAAGACTTCAAGACCAGACTGAGCAAGAGCCAAGAGCAAGACTGTCACTACTAAAAAAAAAAAAAAACAGGCATTGTGGTGGTGCCTATAGTCTTAGCTATTCAGGAGGCTGAGGCAGGAGGATCACTTGAACCCAGGAGTTTGAAGCTGCTATGAATTAGGCTGATGCCTGGAGCAACACAGTGAGACTCTGTATAAAATAAATAAATACATAAATTAGTAAATAAATAAATAATAAATAGAAAAATTTGTAGGTGAGTAAACATCCAAGCCAATTCCTGCCCAGAAAATTCCCTCCCACAGCACATGAAAGAACTCAGAACTCACAGAGTTGGGATAAGAAGGCTTGATCTCCAAGAAGGTCCTCATGGTAGAGAATGAACCAGCCCTCAATAGCCAGGTGAATAAATCCACACACTGCAAACCAGCACAGGGACAGTCGCCGCCAAGTCCCCAGTGGGACAACAGCAGCATGACTGGACAAATGCCAGGTGGTCATGACTAAGACTCCACAGACAGAGAAGAGGCCAGCCAGGAGATGCCAGGTGGAGTATTCATTAGGTACAAAGTTATCCAGCTTTAGGTTCTGAGGCCAGTATGGGTGCAAGGGGCCAGCATTGGTGGTCATGTCTTCTCAGGCTGATTGTTGGCTGCCTGTATACAGACAGGGAGGAAAAAAAAGGAACAAAAAACCCTGTATGAATATAAAGCACAGAATGAGATAATAAAATCAAATCCAGCTCTCTCCCTCCTCCCTCCCCTACAAAATAAAATAAAATAGGGTAGTGCCTGTGGCTCAGTGAGTAGGGCGCTGGCCCCATATACTTAGGGTGGTGGGTTCAAACTGGGCTCCCAACTGAACTGTAACAAAAAAATAGCTGGGCATTGTGGTGGGCGCCTGTAGTCCCAGCTACTCGGGAGGCTGAGGCAAGAGAATCGCCTAAGCCCAGGAATTAGAGGTTGCTGTAAGCTGTGTGATGCTACGGCACTCTACTGAGGGCGATAAAATGAGACTCCTCTGTCTCTACAAAAAAATAATAATAATAAAATAAAATAAAATCCAAATGGCTTATTACCATTCATAAGAAATACAAATGGATTGAATTTACCAGTTAACAGACTGTAAGACTGACTTAAAAATAATCTAATTGGCTCAGCACCTGTACTCACTGAGTAGGGCACTGGCCACATACACCAAGGCTGACAGGTTCGCGCCTAGCCTGGGCCTGTTAAACAAGGACAGCTGCAACAACAACAATAACAAAATAGCTGGGCATTGTGGCAGGCGCCTGTAGTCCCAGCTACTTAGGAGGCTGAGGTAAGAGAATCGCTTAAGCCCAAGAGTTGGAGGTTTCTGTGAGCTGTGATGCCATAGCACTCTACCAAGGGTGACAAAATGAGACTCTGTCTCAAAAATAATAATGGGGGTGGCATCTGTGGCTCAAAGGAGTAGGGCACTGGCCCCATATGCCAGAGCTGGTGGGTTCAAACCTGGCCCGAGCCAACAACTGCAAAAAATGGCTTGGCACCTATGGCTCAAGTGGCTAAGGTGCCAGCTACAGACATCTAAGGTGGTGGGTTCAAATCCAGCCCAGGCCTGCCAAATAACAATGACGGCTGCAACCAAAAAATAGCCGGGCATTGCGGCAGGCACCTGTGGTCCTAGCTACTTGGGAGGCAGAGGCAGGAGACTCGCTTGAGCCCAGGAGTTGGAGGTTGCTGTGAGCTGTGATGCCATAGCACTCTACCCAGGGGGACAGCTTGAGGCTCTATCTCAAAAAAAAAAAACTGCAAAAAATAATAATAAATAAAAATAATAATGATCATGATGATGATGATGGGGGCAGCACCTGTGGCTCAGTGAGTAGGGCACTGGCCCCATATACCAAGGGTGGCAGGTTCAAACCCGGCCCTGGCCAAAATGCAACAGACAAACAGCCAGGCATTGTGGCAGACACCTGTAGCCCCAGCTACTAGTGAGGCTGAGGCAGGAGAATTACCTAAGCCCAAGAGCTGGAGGTTGCTGTGAGCTGTGACACCACAGCACTCTATTGAGGGCAACAAAGTGAGACTGTCTCTAAAAAAATAAATAAAATTAATAACAATAATAATAATAGGGGCGGTGCCTGTGGCTCAGTCAGTAGGGCGCCGGCCCCATATGCCAAGGATAGCTGATTCAAATCTGACCCTGGCCAAACTGCAACAAAAAATAGCCAAGCATTGTGACGGGTGCCTGTAGGCTGAGGTAAAAGAATCGCCTAAGCCCAGGAGTTGGAGGTGGCCGTGAGATGTGTGACGCCACGGCACTCTACCTAGGGCAACAAAGTGCGACTCTGTCACTACAAAATAAATAAATAAATAAATAATGATAGGCTCGGTACCCGTAGCATAGTGCTTATGGTGCCAGCCACGACTGACGGGTTCGTATCCCGCCAAGGCCAGTTAAATGACAACTGCAACAAAAAATAGCCAGGCATTGTGGCGGGTGCCTGTAGTTCCACTACTGGGAGGTTGAGGCAAGAGAATCACCTAAGCCCAAGAGCTGGAGGTTGCTGTGAGCTGTGATGGCACAGGACCCTACAGAGGGCGACAAAGTGAGACTCTGTCTCAAAAAAAAAAAAATGATAGGCTTGGCGCCCATAGCACAGTGGTTACAGCGCCGGCCACGTACACCGAGAACGGTGGGTTCAAACCTGCTAAGGCCAGCTAAACAAAAATGACAACTGCAACAAAAAATATCCAGGCGCTGTGCCGGGCGCCTGTAGTCCTAGCTACTGGGAGGCTGACGCAAGAGTATTGCTTAAGCCCAGGAGTTTGAGTTTGCTGTGAGCTGTAACGCTAGGCCCTCCCCCGAGGTCGACAAAGTGAGGCTCTGCCTCAAAA